GAGGAATCAGGGACAGGAAAGAGGTAGGATGGACTGCGTATACACTCCTGTACACACACTCCTCACACATGTCAGTGGTTAGTGGTCTGTGGGCTGAGATGCATGGAGGGAGGAGGACGAGTGATGAAAGGCGGGCCTGTTTTTAATTCTGCTAGGAATTGCGTGAAGAGCCAATGCATCTCTTTTGAGCCTAGCAGTGAGAGAATTATTGAAAAATTTGTGAAAAGTTCGAACACAGTGACATGGCCCCTCACAGCGTCCCTAAAACTAGATACGGAAACCCAAACCACAGACTCAGTTTAGGTCCAGCTGAGTAACAGAGGCACTTAAACAAAAGCATACACAAGATGATGCTTGACTTTATTTTATTTTTTACTCTAAATACACATATCGATAAGCAAGCGCATCAGATGTTTAAATGTGTGATATCATTTTTACAGGACCTGTAATCCAATCCATTCATTTCCCCATATAAGTCACCCCTTCTCTGTCCGGCCCCATTTCCAGTCATGCTCTGTTTTGGCTCCTTGATGTGTGGATTTATAGTACATCCATATTTATATTGAACTGAGGCCCCGAGGTCATAAAAGTAACATTTCCTCAACAGGCTTGTACATCTGTCTTATTAATCCAACATTTCTCAACATCCTGTCCAGTCCCCCCATCTCGTCCAGTCTGTCTGCTTGACATTAAACTTCTCTCTCAATGTGAAACATGTTAAGGCAGTGCTATCCATATTTTTGCCCAGGGTTAAAGTGTGTGCTTGTGAGTGATTTGGAACTGGCTGTGTCCTTAATGGTTCCTGACTTTGTGACACTTTTGTGATTGCTGAATTAATCTTGAGGAGATTTTAATGTCCTAGAATCTGCTTCGCTCTTGGTACTCAGCTCATCGTTGTTTTGTATAAACTCAAGTGAAAAGTTCTTTTTAGCTGGAAACAAATAATCTAAATAAACAGTTACTCTGGTAACATGTCAGTGGCTTTTGTTTACAGTGGAATATGGTTTTATGTTAACTCACTTGACCTCTATATAACGTCTAACAATCCTGTGCAGGATCCAGATTTTGCTGAGGTGCTGACAGACCTGAACAGCCGCGAACTGTTCTGGTTATCTCGTGGCCAGCTGGAAATCGCCGTGGCGACTGAGGGTCAGGATCCTCGACAAATCTCTGGCTCCATCACCGGTAGAAAATCTTGTGACAGTAAGTGTCCGTGCGATCAAACACCTTTACATAGGTCGAATGGAAACTTATTTACCTCCACACGTTTCTTCTCTGCACATTGTTCCAGAGAGTTGGTACCCAGCACTGCAGCAGCAACAAACACAGAGGTTACTAAGAATGTGTTTTGTATTTGGGTTGTGCTAGTCTGTCTGTGGCTGTTTTTGTCCTTCTCCTCTATAAATACTTCTTTGTCTTTCTGTCTCCATCCTTTCAACTCTTATCACTGGGGAAAAACCATGTTTATAGGCCTTCTGTTTGACTTGGTTGCCCACCAAGACTCTGTATGCATGTTTGTCTGTGTGTTTGTGTGTAAGAGAGAGAGAGAGTGCGAGAGAGAGAGAGAGAGAGAGAGAGAGAGCTTACAGGAATGTTGTGGACAACCCAATCATCTGAAACTGTTAAAACATGCACACGTGGTCTTTTTATGGACATCAAGCTACATGGACCACTGAGCGTCAAGGTGTCAGACGCTCTGAAAGACGCATTCATTGTCTAACGCACAAAAAAAACATACAGACAAACAGACACAAATGTGTGCAAAGATGTCTTTTGGTAAAATCTTTACACACTCTGACACACTGGTGCTGCCAAGCTCACAGTCTGCTGGACGTCACACTCCATGCTGGTGTTCCAGTCCTATGATTAACAGCTTGACGTTATGCGTGAAGAATTCAAACCCAACACACTGTTCTGCCTCTCTCCCGCTCTTCTCTTTCCTGCTCTCCTTCTCTCAGTCTTTCAGTCTCTCCTCATGTCTCAATCCCGTCATCTGCTGTTGTCTTTGTGTATCTTCCGTGTCGTTCCTCCTCTTTGGCTTGTTTGTCTTCATGCCATTTTCTAAATATTTTCTCAGTACTTTGCACATTCTCCTGTTATTCATTTCCTACTGTCATCTCAGCTCAGTCTTTTTAAGCCATCTGCATTCAGCAATAGTTACCTCATTCTAAGGCTTAACCATGGGTGGGTTGTTTGTCACTGTGTCTGCGCCCTTGTATTACGTACATTATGGGGACTGAAATCTGTTAACACACTCATGTTGTGGGGACTCAGTCACTGCACAAGGAAATCACAGAATTTTAGGGCGCTAACGTGGTTTAAGGTTAGGGTTCACAAGGAAATCACAGAATTTTAGGGTGCTAACATGGTTTAAGGTTAGGGTCAGGGGTAGGGTTAGGGAAGTAGTGGTTATGGTTATGGCTAAAGTTAGGATAAGTCTACAGGAAATGAATATAAGTCAAGGTAAAGTCCCCGCAAGGAATGAAAACACAGCGTGAGTGTATGCTAGTGCAAGAGCATGTATGTTTTGGTCCCAAGATCTCACACACAATTACACAAGAAGACGTGCCTCTTCATCAGTCATTCAATTGAATCTGTCCCCTCAGTGACTCTTTCTCAGAGAAGGGCTGACACCAGGGGTATGTGCCCTTCGTGTCTGCGGCTGCAGAATGTGAGGGACTGTAACGTGCCCCCAACCAACACATTTTAACATGACAGAACTCATGGCCTCATCTCACGTGCCGTCGGGTTCTACTGTAGCTTAAGGGGGTGGGAACTCTGAGGGGAAAAGAGAGAGATTTAGACAAGTAATGTGAGTAGGAATTTAGGCTAAAGTGGATTTATGATATCTTTGTTTGGATCAGCTATTCAGAGTGTGATGTCCAGTGGTGATGCACTGACCCCGGGGAAGACAGGAGGCGTGGGCTCTGCCATCTTCAGCCTTCATGATAACGGCACACTGGACTACCAGGTATGGATATGCTCACTACCAGGAGGGAGATTGTTGGTTGTCAGTAGTTTTTAAGAATAATTATGATGTTATCTTGCATGTTTGAGTGGTAGGAGGACTTTACCCATTTCTCCTTACCCCCTTCTTCCAGGTTCAGGTTGCAGGTCTCACCAGCGATGTGGTTGGGCTCACTATTGAACTGAAGCCAAGGCGACGTAACAAGCGTTCTGTGCTGTATGACCTGACCCCAGAGTACAACAAGGCCACAGGCCGGGCGGTAGGTGGCTGGAGTCGCATGGAGGCCCGACATATCCACATGCTGCTGCAGAATGAACTCTTCATCAATGTGGCCACAGCACACAGCCAGGAGGGGGAGCTGAGGGGGCAGATCAAGGCTCTGCCGTACAGTGGCCTGGAAGCACCCAGACATGGTATAGATGGAAACAGGATGTGGAGTTGTGTTATAAATCTCTGCTGTACATAGACGATTCAGAAATCTGCTCTAACTTTATGTTTGACTTAATGTCTTCCTCCTCCAGAGCTGCCCACCCCTCTGGCTGGCCACTTTGTGTCTCCACCAGTAAGAACAAGTGCCTCTGGTCATGCCTGGGTGTCAGTGGACAGACAGTGCCACCTACATTACGAGATTGTTGTTGCGGGCCTCAGCAAGACTGACGACCTCACTGTGAACGCCCACCTCCAGGGACTGGCTGAGATCGGAGAGATAGACGACAGCAGCACTGCGCACAAGAGGCTGCTGACCGGCTTCTACGGATCACAGGTACATCAGTGTAGACACAAATGAAAACAATTAAATGCACACCTGTACACATACATAAAATGCATCTAGCTGAAACATACTCAGGTTGTTTTTCTTCACCTCTCTTCCTCTTTTCTAGGCTCAGGGAGTGTTAAAGGACATCAGTGTTGAATTACTACAACACCTGGACCAGGGAACAGCCTTCATCCAGGTCAGCACCAAGCTGAACCCTCTAGGAGAAATACGTGGGCGGGTATGTAAAAAATCCACAGAGACTTGTAATGAATACCAGTATTTGTTTTTCTAGTTGTTTTTTTTTTGAATGACTTTAGTTTTTTTCATCCAGTTTGAGGCAGTGTTAACTTTGATGACGGGCTGCAAATGAACCTTTAGCACTGTATTGGTTGACTGAGTGTGACAGTGGGTTTTGTTGTGAAAAGATGTAATGATAGATAAAAAAAAAAATTGAATTTTTTCCAAAATTGATGAATATTAGTATTGACCGGAGACCAGAAGTAGCTACACACAAAATGTGAATGGGAGCTGAAATCCATATTTATGTTAATGGTAAAGAGACTGGATAAACAATTTTGACGCTTATAAGCTATAAAGATATTTATTTCCAACTTTCAACTTTCATTTTTTTGCTGTTGTTGTTGTGCTTGTTTTATTTCCAAAAATGATCATGCTCTATTATCAGTATGAGTAGAGCAAAGTGATCCATAAACATTGAAAACTACAAGAGATGCAAAGTAGCTGAGTCTTTATGTGTCTGTTTGATTGATCACTTAGCGCTCACTAACCCAAGCAACACACACTTTCATTAGCAAATGATGTCTGAGTGGAGAGACTTTACTGGAAAGTAAATGTTTTATTGGGGTTCAGAAGCACAAAACAACACCAAAGAAACCTTTTGCACATACACATCTTTGTTTTTATCACTTACCGGGTCTTCACATAGACTGACATTCATTTCCTGAAGACTTACCCTGACCTTAAACATAGCTGCTACTCAGCTAACCTTATCCTCAACCAAACCTGGTCCTCTCCAGGTCCACGTGCCAAACAACTGTGATCTTGGGACTAGGGGGGAGGTGGAGGAGGCTGAGTTTGATGACCTCTTTGTGAAAGACCCAGAAGAACTGAAGAAAGACCCCCATACCTGCTTCTTTGAGAACCAGCACCATGCTCATGGCTCCCGCTGGACGCCCAGCTACGACAAGTGTTTCTCCTGCAGCTGCCAGGTAAAGACAAACACAATGGCAGCAATGAACTCAGCAGAGATGCAGTAAAATGTTAAAGTATGTTAGAGAAGCTGAGAAATAAATGTACTTGCGCTGCATGGAAGTGCATGTCAAATTCAATCCTCAACATATTTTTTGCTTCCTGTAGAAGCGAACAGTGATATGTGATCCAGTCATTTGTCCAGTGTTGACCTGCCCCCGAACCATTGAGCTTGATAGCAAGTGCTGCCTTGTCTGTGATGGTAAAATCCTCTGATTTATTTGATTGTACAGTACATGAGATCTATAAATGTGTTTAATATGATGTTTTATGGTGGATATGCTGATTTAAGATCCTGGTTTTTGGGTGAAGCCCTGAAGTACTCCCAATAGCAGTCACAAAGCTAAAAACTAATTCTGTTTTTATGTCTCAATTCCTTTTTCCTGTGCAGATAGGAATGATTCCAGAGACATGAAAGCTCCAGAGAGGATGGAAGAACATCCTGAAGGTTGGTAGCACCTCTCCTGCCTCTGACTTGGCTTGTACCTCCTTACCTTTCATTTTTTGGTTTATCCCTGAAGGTTTTGTGTCTTTTCTTTCTATATACAGTATCTCTGTGGTAAATTTCTGTTTCAGAAAAGGTTAACCCTGAATCATTCAAGCAATTTCTCCTCCACTCTTCTGAGTAAGCCTTTCCCCTCTTTTCCTTTTCAGGTTGCTACTTTGAAGGAGACCAGAAGATGCACGCTCCAGGGACCGCATGGCATCCCTTTGTACCTCCCTTTGGCTACATTAAATGTGCTGTCTGCACTTGCAAGGTAAATATACATCCATAAACTCACCCGCATCTGGCTGGATTTACTTTAAAAAAAGCTCTCAATGGGTCATTTGTCTTGTATTATACTCCAAAGAAACCGAGGCATAAATAAATTCCTTGGTTCTTTCTTGGGGAATGTTCAGCCATTTTAACTATTTGTGTGGAAAAGCAATAGGTCAGCTGCACTTTGTGTGCAAACTCCCCCCACCCCACACTAAATGCTACCTGTTCTTCATAGGGATCTACAGGTGAGGTGCACTGTGAGAAGGTGACATGTCCAGTGTTGACCTGCAGTCACCCTGTGAGACGTAATCCCTCTGACTGCTGTAAGGAGTGCCCAGAGGAAGAGAGGACTCCTACAGGCCTGGAGCATGGCGACATGATGCAAGCAGATGGCCCGAGGCACTGCAAATTTGGCAAGAACTATTACCAGAACAGCGACAACTGGCATCCCTGGGTCCCGCTGCTGGGGGAGATGAAGTGCATCACCTGCTGGTGTGATGTAAGTACTGTGTGAGCCAAGAAATACCACTCAAGTGCAAATATTGTAATTACTGTTTTACTGAAATATAAATACAGCTGTTGCTTATGAAAATTACTTGAAGGCAGCTAATTAAGAATTGATTAATTCAACTAAATGTTGATTTATGTTTTGGGGGAAGGAACCTTGATCTTTTCATTATTAAACCATGAATCAGAGTTCAAACTAAATTCTGCTGTATTTGTGCATAGTTTCTTTTATCTAATTAAAGTGTGAAGCTCATCTAATCAGGGGTGGACAAGGCACTCAGGTTGTTTACTTAAGTAAAAGTAGCAATACCACAGTAAAAATTCTCTGGTATAAGTAAAATTCCTGCATTCAATACATTACTTAAATAGAAGCACAGAAGTATTACCATTAAAATATACTTAAAGTTCTAAAAGTAGTAGTACTCATTAGATGCGCCACCAGAATGGCACATTTTACATTAGTGTATATTAGGAGCTCCTTTTAATTACCTTATATGACATTGTTTTAATGTTGTGCAACCTTAAATTTAATTCTTAACTATTTAATACTTAACATTGCGTGATTTATTATTTTATAGAATGAGGGCCACCCCATCCAAAATTTAGATCTAGATCCACCCCTGATTCTGACATTCCTGTCAAGGTGGAGGAGAATCTGTGGTCTGGAGGTTGAATGCATGGAGTGTTGCTCCCCTTCTCACTGTCGTACCTCCTTGTACATTTTGCCTCTCTTCACTAACCCACCATCCTCCTCTGTTATTCTCCACAGCATGGTGTGACAAAGTGTCAAAGGAAGCAATGCCCGCTACTGACCTGCTCCAACATCACCCGCAGAGAGGGCTCATGCTGTCCTGAATGTACTGGTGAGAAATTAATACACACACACACACACACACACACACACACACAGAAGGCATACAGTTGAATAAGTTGTCTTAGCTAACTGCTAATCTGGCTAAACACACTTATGTGCCTAGTTTTAACTGCAGCCCTTTCCTGTCTTATCATGATTCAAATGCTGTTTTAGATTTTTGTTCCATCCTGACAAGAAAAATGTTTTTATTTGAAGCCACTGAATATCAGCATAATGTCAAACACAACCCAGAGATCCCGCTACTTGGTTCCTAAATAGATATTTCTGTTTGCCGTAGATTCTAAAGAGGAAGACAATCTGATGATGAAAGTGCCAGACAAAAGACGAACCTGGAGACACTGATCTATGGAGACCTACCCAAAAACCCCAAACCCATCTTTACCTGTTTAACCTCCCAACTGGACCCAAACCCAGAGCTGCACACTGGGGTCTTCCTACCTGTCCTCCCTCCTCACCTCATACCCACCCTGTTATCAGCTTCAGGATTGTAATGAACAGAGAAGAGCGAAGACAAAGGCATGGCAAAACAGACTCATTAAGTGAAGGAATGATACAATGAAGAGGACCAACCAGACTTTACAAACCTGCTGCCTTTTGCTTCCTGTCTTCCATTTTTGGTGGAACTTTTTCTTCCTCTGTTTTTCAAAGCACCTCAAAAGGAGAAAACAGGTAGATGTAGCTGTGTAACGCAAGTGATCAACTGGATTCTTTTGCTGGTGTTGTTGAAAGAAGTCCAGCTGGATTTGAAATGTAAAGGTTGTGTTTCATTGACAGGACTTCATTCTGAAGTACAGCCATAGCTAATGTCACTCTCGCCGCCTTCACTGGATACAGTGAGGAAAGTGTTGCTTACATGTGTGTGAATGTGCATGTGTGTGAGCATGTGTGTGATTTAAAAAAAAAAGTTTTTAACCAGTAATGAATATGAGTGAACAGAAATACAGAACCACAGTAGCTTTAATGGGTGGCCACATATGTTGTTACCCAACTCTTCAGTCAGTCTGCAACTTATACTTCCCCTCAAATCAGTCACTCGGTCAGTCACACACTGTAGGCGTCAGGATCAGTTCTGTTTCACTGGATGAGCAGCGTGAACACATCTCACCTTGCCACCATTTCCCAGTGTAACACAAACATGAGCTTTGGCTTCACCTCCTGTTGGTCACATCACTTCTCTGCTTCAGTTGTTCCTATTTTTGTTTCAAATTAAATAATATTTTATGAGGTTTTCTTTTATCGATTTTGTTTAAGAATATGAAGCTGGTTTGTATTTTGTATTTATTGAATAATGTAGAGACAAAATAATAAAGGTGTTTGTTGGTAAAAGAGAGACTGCCTGTGGGTTTGTTTCACTTAATGATCCGCTCTCGCTCCCTTTTTGCATTTCTTCATTTTTCATCTCGACTCTTTGGTATTTCTCTTTTTTCTTTACTCAGTTTTTTCAAACATGGAGCTTTAACAAGCCAGACTGTCATGACCTAATCCTCTGCTTTTTGTTGCTCTTTCTCCATTGTTCCATCTCTGCTTCTTTACACTCTTCATTGATTCCCCTCTTCACATTTGTAACCTGATCCTCTGTTACTTTCTTTGTTTCAGCAACAACCCTCCACATATGAATGGCCAGAACTCTACATTTTTTTTAAATATTTTTTAAAGAAAAAGCACAATTGATTAAAATGAAAATTGATTTTTTTTTTTGTTGTCAGTTGACACTTTTATTTTATGGGAAGTTTGATATACATATATTTTTATGCCAAAATCTTAATTAATAAAGTAACTAAAGCTGTAAAATAAGTCCCATCACTACCTGACCAGCTAAAATTAGTTCCGAGGCCATTGTAAAACCTGGGAATGCAATGACAAGGTTACTTTGATAAGATTACTGAAAATCAGTGTGCCTACTTTGCTGACCCTAAAGTACAACTTGGCAAATATCTAAAGCCACCAACCAGTTTTCTGCTCAAACAAGGTTGACAGAGATGCTGTGGAGTGTGGTGTCTCAGTGTGCGACTTGTAACTCTGTCTGTTGCAGCACTGATCAACAGGATCTTAAACCGCCAGTACACAGAGGCCTGAGCTCAGAAATCCAAAGCACAAAGGAACAGGCCACTGAAAATCTGAACTAGGGGCCAAAAATCCAAAGTCAGATGGTAATCGACAAGTGGGGTTTAGGCTTGACACCTTGTGGCCCCATCATCCGTGCAGTGAGACTGTAAGTAATGTGAATGTTCAGAAGCACAGCACTAAGTGTTTTAATGTCTACTAAGCATGAATGTGGGGTTTGTTGTGCTGTGTCCAGTTTAGGGAAACGGCAGTTTTTCTGGATGTAAAGAAGATGAGCTACCGCTAGAGGGCAGTAGACCTGACACTAATGGTCGACTATTTGACATTATACATCTGATACATACACACAAGTCAATTTATTTATAAGCACATTTAAAAACAACAAAGTTGACTCAAAGTGTTGATGTACCAAAGTACCTACAATAACCAATGTCAGTGAAACCAGAACTCAACACACTTTAAAATACTGCAACACACATCACAGCACCAGAGAACAGAGTACAGTAGATGCATCACTCTCTCACACTCACACATTTGGTATGTGTTGACATTACTGTGAGAACAGATGTTGCTGTGATCAGGTCCCCTTTATCTCTCAGAGCACACTAACATTTGTCCACCAAAAAAAAAACCCTCAACAACAATGACTATTTAGCATAACATGAATACACTTCTCTTGATGGAATATTTTGGCCTGTTTATTACTGCCATGATTATATTCTCTATTTTTTCAATTGTATTTAATATTATTTGGCAAACAGGGTTGTATTCATCTCACTGTATTACTGATGTGGATACTGTTAAAGCCTTTTTTATTTATTTGGATACTGCAACAGCTAAGAGAGGCAAGGCTCATCAATATTTTATCTCTGCTGCCCTCTGCTGTGAACAGCTGAGTTGATGTTTTTAGAGGAGTTATGGTGTTAAATCGACCATATATGCACACAGGTCCTACAGTATATAGCATCATGAAATGCTCTTTAAGCTTGTACCAGTGCAGCATGAGCAGCCTAATGGCTCCATAAAGAACCTTTTCAGAACACTTATTTTCAAGCACACCCACATTTTCGTGCAGTTTTGATGCATGAAAATGCCTTGTTTAAGTTCAATGTGGCAGCAATTGCTCATGGACAAAACAGCCTGGCCGTTGTTCTAACTTCAAGCCCCTCAGGCAGATTGAGAAAAGGTTGCACAAAAAAACTATTTTTAGCATACCACTGGGATTTTGACTGTAATTTGCAAAAGAAGTCTGTGACCTTAGTTTGATTTACTTGATTAAATAAAAGTTAAATAAAGACAACAAAGAGAACATGGAGTGACCTTTCCCAGGGCACGTATTCATTTTCAGCTACTGTAATACCCTGTAGCAGAGCACTTATGATTCAAGCTGTTCAACTCCAAGAATCCAGAAGTGTTGCACTCTGTTACTGGGGAGGGGCCCTGTCACTTCCACTGCGCTTATCGAACCATGCAGACAGAGAAAATTAAGCCGTATCTCCCTCTGAGAGGGGAAGAGTATAACATTCTAAAATATGTTTCAACTTTTCTATACATATCAATGGCTTCTCAGTGTGGAGTTGTATGGCTACAGTTCACAGTCTGAATATAGGAGGTAAAGAAGTGATTCTGAAGCAGAGGCAGCAGAGGAGTGTATAGAAAAGATCTGTTTCAAATTCATTGCTCATATTTCTTCTCTCTTAGTGCACAGGCCACAAGTGCTTCCCTTTACAGTAGCAAAACTCTAAATTACATGTACATGAGTTTAGAAGATATAACGCACATGTAGTTAGCTGAATATAGAGTCAACAGGCTGAGGTCAGGTGAGTCAAAGATTCAGGGGCTGTAAATGAGACAGAAGTAGCAGCAATGGGAAGCTTCCTCTTCATTTTCCTTTTAACTTTAGACACCCCTGTCTGGGATATTCAAACTCTAATTAGCACTTATAGGTTCCAGATTCCAATAAACCCCTGACTCTGATAAATTTTGCAGCCCAGACTTTTAAAGTGCACTGATGAACCTACTTTGTGATAGCAACCATCCCTGCCGCTCGTTAGTTATTCTTTGTACACCTGTAATACTATGTTTTCTATTCTCACAGGTCAGATATTTTTACTATAAAGGTGGCAAATTTACCACTTTGGGAGTTTTTAAGCAATGGGTCCTTTATCTGAGACACCTGTAGACAAAAACAGGCTTCATGTTTCTAACCAGCCACCACTGATTTGCACCTGAAATAAGTGTCATTGGAAGATTGTTTTACTTTTAGCTAGATAATTAAGCTTTTGTTAGTTCCATTGTTGGTTAAAATTGTCACCTTAAACTCACAGTTTATAGTGAATTCTTGATTTAAAATAAGAATCCTTTAAAAAGATTCTCATCTCAAAAGACTGAACTCAGTTGGAAGAAGGTTCTATCTAATCAGAACAAAATCAAGGTTTCTGGCCACCAGACAAAATAATGTGTTACACTGCACATCATCAAAAAAACAACAACATGCCATTCCCAGTGTAAAGTGTGGTGGTGGCAGCAACAGCGTTCTGGGTTTGGGAGGCTCATGAAAGCTAGAAGAAGGATGAATGCAGCAGACTACAAGGAAAACGTGCAGTGTGCAAGAAATCTGCAGCTTGAGCCCGTTTTACAAAGAAAAGTGTCCAGATGTCAAACCTGATAGAAACGTATCCAAACAGATGTAAAGCTGTAACTGGTGCTGGAGGTGCATAAGCACTGTATTTTCTATTTAACTTTTGTGATATCAGTTTCACTCTGACATTACAGTGTCCGTTTCATTGATTTGTGTAAAAAAATATATGAAATACATTTGACTATATATCTCATATATACAGCTCGTGCCTCGTGCTTGCACACAGCTGGTTTCATTAAATACGCAGGTGTGAGGAAATTTCAGCTGCCGCACTTGACGCGCATATGAGACACATGTCCCTTACACCTGCCAGTTTAGTGATTCCTTGTCTGCACCGGCATCGACGTAAACTGAAGACTCAAAAGCCTCCTACAGGTAGCCTCCTCTCTCTCCCATCCAGCTCCTTGTGCCTCTTGCCTCCCCTGGCAGGGCGTACTCCATGTCTCCCCCTCACAGCATCCCAGTCTGTCCAGTCCGCTCCAGGCGGTGGGATCCCGGCTCAGCTCTGCACATCTGGAACACTAACTGGGAACCTGGGCATAAGACGGGATCAAGCAGTGTTTGCCGCGGCCGCAGCCGCATTGCAACGCAGGAGCGATGCTGAGGACCGGCTGTTGAATGTCTGAGGAGCATCTCTCGCCTCTTCTCTGTGTTTTATTTGTTTAGTTGATCATAGACATTAGTGAAAACAGAATTACACATCAGCTGCGTGTGTGTAGTCATCACACCCACTGATGTCACCTTTAAAATGTCTCTTTATATTATTACAGAGAGGGTGTGTTTTTGAATGTTATATGCATCTTGGAAGTTGGGCTTTTGCAACCAATAGGATTTCTGCTCAGCGTGGCACCGGCGGCAGCCTGGAACAACCGAATCGGGACTGGACTAGCTGGCAGCATTCAGAGATTATTGCAACAGCAGCAGTCAAGTTGGAGGATAAATTGTTGCACTGAATCAAACTTTATCTTAAAATTTGCTGGATTTGGATCTGTCCAACGCCCCGTGCCGACACCTACCTCCTCCGTCCTCAGCGCACGGAGAGTGAGACATGGAGAGTCACAGGTGACTCAGGTCCGCTCGCCGCCGCTTCAGGACACCTACTGGAGATTTACTGGGCATATTGGGGATACAAGGGCCCCGGGCAGGATGGTGAGTAGGCTGCGCACTGCGCGTTTGCATGCCAGGTACGCGCGCAAACGTGTGTATTTGTACACAATGTAACTGTACACAACATAACGCAACAGCATAACTGCCTTTCATCTGCCCTCAACGGCCTTACGTCGCCTCTCAGTTTCCTCAACCCATCTCTCTACTCATGCACGCCCCGGTCTGGGCGCGGTGGTCACGTTTCTTCTCCTCGCCTCATGATACTGTGGCAAGCTAGTGGGTTCAAGGGACTCTGCCAAGGAATGGCTCTGGAATCAGGCTGTCTTTTTTATGCAGGCTTCCGTGCCCCATACACCGCTACTTTTATTATCAACACCAGCACTGAAAATCAGAACTTATATACACAAGTTTTCCACCCAAAAAGAAACATAACCCGCCATGACTT